GCCTGAGCCCAGGAGGCGGAGGTTGCGGTGAGCCGAGATCGCGCCATTGTACTCCAGCCTGGGTAACAAGAGTGAAACTCCGTAAAAAAAAAAAAAAAAAAAAATGAGGAAATACCAGGCCAGAGTCACAGCTGTAATTCCAGCACTTTGGGAGGTTGAGGCACGTGGATCACCTGGAGGTCAGGAGTTCAAGACCAGCCTGGTCAACATGGTGAAATCCCGTTCCTACAAAAATACAAAACTTAGTCAAGCATGATGGCATGTGCCTGTAATCCCAGCTACTCAGGAGGCTGAGGCAGGAAAATCACTTGAACCCAGGAGGCAGAGGTCTCATGAGCCAAGATCACACCATTGCACTCCAGCCTGGATGACAGAGCGAGACTCCATCTCCAAAAAAAAAAAAGAAAGAAAAAAAAAAGAAACACCAGACAAATGTAATTGAGGGACATTCTACAAACTAAAGTGACCAATATTTTTCAAAGTATCAAGCTTATGAAAGGTTGGGGAACTGTTTGAAATTGGAAGAGACTAAGGAGACATGACAAGTAAATGAAATGTGGACTCTAGGATTAGAACCTGGGCCAGAAAAGGGGATATTACTTGGATAATTGGCTTGATTTTAAGATCTATGGATTATTTGATAGTATTGTATTATTAATTTTCTGGTTTTGATGATTATGTTATGATTATATGTGATGTTAACATTTGGGAAAACTGAGTGAGGTACACACTAGGGCTCCATCATTTTTTGGAAGTCTGAACTTGTTTTAAAACAGTTAAGACCAGGTGCAGTGGTTCATGCCTGTAATCCCAGAACTTTGGGAAGCCAAGGAGGATGGATTGCTTGAGTCCAGGAGTTTGAGACCAGCCTGAGCAACTTGGCCAAACCCTGTGTCTACAAAAAATTAGCTGGGTGTGGTAGTGCTTGTAGTCCCGGCTACTTGGGGGCTGAGGCAGGAGGATTGTTTAAGCCCAGGAAGCCAAGGCTGTAGTGAGTCAAGATCATGCCACTGCATTTCAGCCTAAGCAACAGTGTGAGACCTTATCTCAAGGGGGAAAAAAAAAACTAAGTAAGAGGCTAGGCACAATGGCTCATTCCTGTGATCCTAGTACTTGGGGGGCCAACACAAGAAGATCGCCTGAGGCCAGGAGTTTAAGGCTGTGGTGAGCTGTGGTTGTACCACTACACACCAGACTGAGTAAGAGAGCAAGACCCTGACTCTAAAAAAAAAAAAATAGAAGGACCGGTGTGGTGGTTCACACCTGTAATTCCAGTACTTTGGGAGGCCAAGGTGGGCAGATCCCTTGAGTCCAGGAGTTCAACACCAGCCTGGGCAACATGGCAAAACCCCATCTCTGCCAGAAAAATACAGAAAGTAGCTGGGCATGGTGGCACGTGCCTATAGTCCCAGCTGCTTGGGAGGCTGCACTCCAGTCCAGATAATAGAGGGAGATCTCTGTCTCAAAAAAAAAACCAAAACTTAAATCTTTTTTATTTTTTAAATTTTTTTAAACTGATCAGTAGAACAAAACTTAAATCTTTTAAAGGAAAATTCATTTAAGTTCCAAACTCATCACCATTGGTTCATTATATTTTAGGGAGTATGCAGTATAATTAATCAGATATCTTAAAGATAATCACACATAGGCTGGGTGTGGTGGCTCACTCCTGTAATCCCGGCACTTTGGGAGGCTAACGCAGGTGGATCACCTGAGGTCAGGAGTTCAAGACCAGCCTGACCAATACAGTGAAACCCCGTCTCTACTAAAAATACAAAAATTAGCCAGGCATAGTGGTGGGCACCTGTAATCCCAGCTACTCGGGAGGCTGAGACAGGTGGATTACTTGAACCCAGGAGGCCGAGGTTCCAGTGAGCCAAGATCAAACCAATGCACTCTAGCCTGGGTGACAGTGAGTCTAA